TCTCCACTTTAACCCTTTGGCTTGGGTAATTTTTTACACATTTTCTCAATTTATAGTTTAAATAAATAATTAAAGAAATCAAAGAATTAAACAATATTTATTTATTTAATTAATTAAGTATTTTTGTTAATTTTAATTAGGTCTAACAACATAGGTTATGGGGCGAAAGCAGTTGCTTCCGAAATAGCTAAATGTACTAATCTCTCCACTTTAAGCCTTTCGCTTAGGTAATTTTTTACACATTTTCTCAATTTATAGTTTAAATAAATAATTAAAGAAATCAAAGAATTAAACAATATTTATTTATTTAATTAATTAAGTATTTTTGTTAATTTTAATTAGTAACAACAACATAGGTTCAGATGGGGCGAAAGCAGTTGCTTCCGAAATAGCTAAATGTACTAATATCTCTACTTTAAGCCTCAATCTCAGGTAATTTTTTACACATTTTCTCAATTTATAGTTTAAATAAATAATTAAAGAAATCAAAGAATTAAACAATATTTATTTATTTAATTAATTAAGTATTTTTGTTAATTTTAATTAGGTGGAATAGTATAGGTTCAGATGGGGCGATAGCAGTTGCTTCCGAAATAGCTAAATGTACTAATCTCTCCACTTTAAGCCTCTACCTCAAGTAATTTTTTACACATTTTCTCAATTTATAGTTTAAATAAATAATTAAAGAAATCAAAGAATTAAACAATATTTATTTATTTAATTAATTAAGTATTTTTGTTAATTTTAATTAGCTCTAACAACATAGGTTCAGATGGGGCGAAAGCAGTTGCTTCCGAAATAGCTAAATGTACTAATCTCTCCACTTTAAGCCTTTGGCTCTAGTAATTTTTTACACATTTTCTCAATTTATAGTTTAAATAAATAATTAAAAAAATCAAAGAATTAAACAATATTTATTTATTTAATTAATTAAGTATTTTTGTTAATTTTAATTAGCTCTAACAACATAGGTTCAGATGGGGCGAAAGCAGTTGCTTCCGAAATAGCTAAATGTACTAATCTCTCCACTTTAACCCTTTCGCTTGGGTAATTTTTTACACATTTTCTCAATTTATAGTTTAAATAAATAATTAAAGAAATCAAAGAATTAAACAATATTTATTTATTTAATTAATTAAGTATTTTTGTTAATTTTAATTAGTAACAACAACATAGGTTCAGATGGGGCGAAAGCAGTTGCTTCCGAAATAGCTAAATGTACTAATCTCTCCACTTTAAGCCTTTGGCTCTAGTAATTTTTTACACATTTTCTCAATTTATAGTTTAAATAAATAATTAAAGAAATCAAAGAATTAAACAATATTTATTTATTTAATTAATTAAGTATTTTTGTTAATTTTAATTAGCTCTAACAACGTAGGTTCAGATGGGGCGAAAGCAGTTGCTTCCGAAATAGCTAAATGTACTAATCTCTTCACTTTAAGCCTCGATTTCGAGTAATTTTTTACACATTTTCTCAATTTATAGTTTAAATAAATAATTAAAGAAATCAAAGAATTAAACAATATTTATTTATTTAATTAATTAAGTATTTTTGTTAATTTTAATTAGTGAGAACAACATAGGTTCAGATGGGGCGAAAGCAGTTGCTTCCGAAATAGCTAAATGTACTAATCTCTCCACTTTAAGCCTCGATTTCTAGTAATTTTTTACATATTTTCTGAATTTAAATTTTAAATAAATAATTTAAGAAGCAATAGAATTAAACATTAAAATTAATTTTTAAAGTAAGTCCCACCAACTAATAAAATTTTAAAATTTAGAATTTAAAAATGAAAAATATTTTTAAATATTTCGAGATTAAATTTAAATGATTTTATTTTGTTTATCAGATTAATTTTAGTTTCAATATTAAGAAAATGTTTTAAAATAATGTATTTTGATAAAATTTTCTATTTATTTTATTATTATAAAATAAAAGTATTTTCGAAATAATAATAAAAAGAAATGTTTTCTAAGAATTCAAAATTAAATTTCGGAAAGAATTTATATTTAATGATAAATTTTATACAAAATTTGTTAAAATATTTAAATTATATAAAGAAGTAAATGCTTTATTAAAATTTGAAACGTCGAACATTATTTAAAAATTTCCTTCATTTGCAAAATAAAGATTAGTCGTATTAAAAATTATTTCGTTGTAATATGTAATATAAATTTATATTTTAAAAATCTAAAGTAAAAAAAATTTAATTAATTAAGCCTGTGTAAAGGCTAAAATCAACAACAATTATTAGATTAATGAGTATTATTATAAAGGAAAATCTTTTAAATTTAGACTTGTAATATTGTTTAAAAAATGAAAAAATGTGATAATTAATGAATTAATTATATTATTTTAATTAATTAATTAGAAGGAATAATTTAGATGGAAAAATTTCTTTTGAGAATTACTTTGACAAAGACATTAAGCTAAACATAAAAATATGAATGAGTTAAAAATATTAATTAGATAATATTATGATTTATATTAAGTTTATAAATTTATAATTATGAATTTTTTATTAGGTTTATTTTTTTTTCAAATAATAATAAAATAATTAATAAAAAATAAATGGAAATTAAAAATAATATAAATTTGTTAGAATAATTGTTTTATAAAATTTTTAAAGAATTTAACAAAATTTATTTTTTTGTAAAAATTTCAAACATTAATAATGTATTGTCATTAAATCTAAGAATTTTTATCATTTTTATATTTTAAAGAAAAAAATTAACTTACTTTTTGGAATGAAAATAACTACTTAGTGACATCTGAAACAACTTTTTTAGGAAGTTTAATTTTAAATAACCTTTTATTTTTTTTATAGTTTAATATTTAAATTTATTGAATATTATATGAAGATGAAATTAAATAGATGATTTAAAAATCAATCTATAATATCCATAATATATTGTATTAAATCTTAAAAAGAAAGGAGAAACAATAGCTTTAAAGAGCAATATTTTGATTGATAATATTTATAAAGTTTATTTAAATAAAATATTAATAAACTTTAATTATGTTTTGAAATATTTCTGTAAAAATATCCTTAGAATTTTTTGCTATTAATTTATTGATTTTTTTATTTTTATAATTTAAACCTTGTTCTATTTAAATATATATCTGCTTTTAATAGCCTCATAAATAATATTGATTAAAACTCCTAGTTCAATGCTTTTTTCCATATCAATAAAATTGATTAATAATTAATTATCTTATCTTATTTTAGATAAATTTCTTAATGTTAATCTTATTAAAATAATTAAAAATCTTCTTATTATTGATAAAATTAATCAAAAATATTTATAATGCCCATTTTGTTAAGCATATAAATAAATCAATGCAAAATAATATTTTAGCGCTTCAAGTTATTTATGATTATTTATTTTAAATATGTAATTTAGCATATTCAATTTTAAATTAATAATAAATTTATATTTGCAAAAAAATATGCTGAATTATTTTATAAGAAAATATTAATCATTAAATAAGCAAATAATTTTAATAATTTTTTAATAACACATAATTTAATTAAGGTTCTAATTTAAAAGAATAGATTTAAAAGAATAAATATACAAAAATTATTACAATTAATATATGGTTAGAATAAAAATGAGTAACAAATACTCTAAATAATTAGTATTTACTAAGTAATAAATATCTAATAATAAGGATAAAATAATTTAAATGTTTTATATGGTAAAGAAGGAAAAAAATAAATTGAATGATAATAATAGTTAAGATAATAAATTAGATATAGATTACTTATTAAAATATCGATTTACTGTAAACTCTCTATAATAAGACCCCCCCCTCCCTTACTCTCCCCTAATTTAGAAAAAAGCAAAAAAAAAATTATTTATAAATACTCAGAAATTGAGCACTTTTCTTTGATGAAGTAGGGTGCTTAATAAAGGCAAGTTTTATTGTATAAAAAAAACTATGATAAAATAATTTAATTAAGATGTATTCTCAGTGTATATTTATGTGAAAGTATTTCTATTCTATTTTATTTATAAAGGACATTACCCTCATATAACAATATAATGAATAAATCAATATAATTAATAAAAGTTAAAAGAAGGAATAAGGTTCTTCAACGATTTGTTTCCTCATCTTCTGTCAACTATATTAATTTTTCAGAAGAAAAACTACTATCTCTTCAAGGAGTTCCATAAAATTAGCTAGATGGTTATCTTTCTTAATTTACTTTTTTTTGAAATGAATATGGATCTTTCCTTCCAATTTTACTAGAAACCTTATCTAAGTATATGAAGACATACTATTCTAAGGATAATTAATAGCTAACTTAACAAATGAAGTATAAGAAGAGATTTCAGAAGACCAGTAGATGATCTCAACTCTATTATCTATCAAACTAAACTAAAGTATAACTATCTCAAGAAGTAATTAGCTAAACGTCATTTATTAAGATCCTAAAGACCTATAAACTCATTAGATAAACTTAAAATAAGTTAACTAATTATTAATTGAATTTAATCTATAATAAAAAAATATTTTGCAGAAGTGGTTTATAATCTGTGCTAAGTCTATATATTAAATTTAAAATATTATAAAAAATTAAATCTATTTAATAAGCTTTTTATTAAGATGATAAATAAAGATTCTTAAGAAAGCTTATTATTTATAGATATTTACTCATAATTATTCTTGAATAGTTTTATAAGCAACATATAATACAAAAATAATATACAAATTCATTGATAATTATATTAAGCAAAGTACCTATTAATTTATATAAAGGTTTCTTCATAATTATTAAATATCTTCTGAGTGGAATTTATTAGAACATTGATCATTCAATTTCAGTATTTATAATCAAATCAAAGAAAGATAAGGATTTTCATTTATCATATATTTTGAATGTTAATAGATATGAATATAAAAAATTTATTTGATAGAATATTGAAGATTTTATATAAGGGGAAATCTTTGATTTTTACATTATTTTTTATTAAGAAAAAAGCTAATTTAGCAAAGTGATTTAAAGTAAAGTAAAGGAAAGCAAAGCAAAGCAACTAAGCAAGCAAAAATAGGTTAAAGACAAGAAGAAATGTCAAGTTCTAAGTAAGTCAAATAAGAAGTTGAGAAACAAATCAAAAATTGTACCATCAAGAAGCAAAATGTCAGGAAGTTTTTCAAGTTAATGGAGGAATAGTAAAAGCACTATCAGATTTTAGAGTTTGCAGGAAATGGATCATTTGCATTGGTATTAAAGGCTATCAATAAAAATACAGGCCAAACAGTGGCTCTTAAAGTTGTAGAATGTGATGAAAACGACTTAAAAGGAATACAAGCTATTCAAGAAGAGTATAAAATGCTGGAGATATTCACTGGTTGTAAGTACGTCGTCAAAGTACTCAACAATTTCTTCCTAACTGAAAGCAGTGATTCTGATGAAGATGATGATTAAATTCCAGTAGGCCAAAATAACAACTAATCAAACTTACTGAGGGTATTCTATGTTATGGAATAGGAATTCTGTCAAAGTAACATACTTCAATAAATTTATATATATTCCTTTTAAATTCATACTCATTTTAAGATGATTGCGGAGACTAAAAAAATGCTAAAAAGACATATTTATTAGTTATTATTCTTTTTGCTTGTTAATTAAATGACAAAATCCAAATCTGAATGAATGAATGTTTAATTAAATAGTAAATTTCATTGATTTTGTTATGAATAAATGAATGAGTTCGTTTTTTCCTTTTTCTTATCTTGCTTTTAATTATTCATTCATTCATTTTTAACGTTTTTCTAACTTTTGATTTACTTTAATGTTAATAATGAATGTAATTCACTTTTAACTAGTAAGATAATAAAGAAAACATTTAATATAAATAAATTAATCACTCAATAGACTTTACCTTGTCATTTAACAAGTAAATAAATCAATAAAATTGCACAGATTAATTATTCAAAAACAAATAAGAAAGATATCATTTATTCAATTTATGAATGAGTATCATCAAGCATTATTATTAATAATTTACATACAAAATAAAATAAGAAAATATTCATTCATATTTTTAATATTTACCTTTATTTTTTCATATACAATACAAAAAAACACATCTCTATTCAAAATAAATGACCAAAGTAAAATTGCAATCACTTTTTTATTATAATCATTTTTTAACAAATGAAATAATATTTAATCTATTTTTTAAAATAATTCATTTAAAATTTTAATGAAATAATAGCTTTAACGCAGATAATATATATTTTCCATTAAAAAAATGTTATTTTTAGATAAAAAAATTAATTTTAAAATAAATAAACATTAAAAAGAAAAATAAATAAACTTTTCTTATTTTTAAAATAGTTTCAATACTATTTTATTTAATTTTAATCAAAATTTTATATAAAAGCTACTCTGTAGTCATTCATTGAGACATGTAGGTAAAAGAATAGCTATCCAAGCTAACAAATGAAAGAAATAATGACAATCTAAATCTTGGATTCGGTGGCTTTCTTGCACAGGTTTGATGTTGTGCATAGAGATATAAAGCCATCCAACTTTTTACTTAACTTTGATCAAAATGGCAATCCAACACTTAAGCTATGTAATTTTAATTTTTTTAATTGAATAAAAATGATTTTAAGACTAAGTTGAATTAAAAGTAAATCTTAACTATTTTTTTATGATGATCATTCATCATTCATTGGAAAATTAAAGAAGATTTCAATTAAAATTCTAATAAAGCACACTTATTAAAATTTTCTTTTTAAAAAAACCTATTCTTTTAAAATTTAAAACAAAAATAAATAAATATCTAAATAAAAGCAAGAGCATTATTTTTTCTTGAAAATAGCATCAAAAAAACTTTGTTGAAAAAGTAGTTTTTTGAAAAGAAATTCAATAAATTAAATTGCAATAGTTATAAGCTAAATTGTTTTTACTAGATATGAAACCATATTTATTAGACATTTTCTTAAAAAACCCTACTAATATATTGAAATCAACATCATTTATTATGAAAAAAACTATTTTTTATTTTAACTATCTAAATTTTGATATAATACTTAAAAAACTAGTTTTATAAGAACTAAAATACTATAAAAGTTAAATTAAATAATTAATTTTAAAGTATTTATTAATAAATAAAACTAAGAGCTACTCAAATTATATTAAAATTAATCTCAATATACAGATTAAATTCTAAATTTAAATTTTTAATTATCTAAAAATTTTGTTTCATAATATTTTTTAAAGAAAAACAACTGAATAAAAAATAAATTCTTAAAAAATAAGAAAACCGTACATTGAAATTGCTCCATTTACTTAAAATTGTCTTGATTTAATAGCTAAATATTTGCTTAAATAGCATATCCAAAAAAATAAACTAAATTTTTTTTATTTTAATTATTTTTATTTAAGCTTCATCATATTGTTAAATAAAGTAAGAGATCTTGATATTATATTT